GTGCGGGAGTGGTGAGAGAGTGGAGTAGGTTCTCCGCAAGCATACTTTCACTATAATACTCTGGAGGCCACCGCGTTGCTTTAGTTTGCTGAATCTCGTGGTAAACATCATCGAGAGCGATGGTCGAACTGTCGTGTTAGTTAACAAACTGTCATTAAAAGTTGGCCGTCCAGCTGGATGTAGAGCAGGCGAGCATGTCTGATAGCGGAGTCATAGCAGACGACTATGAAGTAAGGTATTATGTGGTAGATAACAGCTTAGGAAGATCCTAATTTCACAGCTGCCACACCTACCGCCTCATCTCTCGGATCCAGCATTGGAACTGTAGACGCTTCAGTGATAGACAAGTCGGCGTAATCAACTATTCGTTCAGTTGCTGTTTGCCATTGTGTAACTTCGCATATTGCAGCTTGTCGATCGGCAGTGGAAGAAGGGTTTCCTGGAGCAGGGTTTGATTTGCGGATTTGGACACAGATGCCAAACCATAGTGGTTCTAGTCCCGTTCACAAGGCTGACAAATAGAACAGTTGGTTTCATTGTTTGCGCCCTTTCTCGGAGTACTGTGATCTTGTTGTTGTTGCTGCTGTTATACCGCGGCCCGTGAATGTGCATATTGGCAGGTAGGATGCGCGGGAAGGAGTTGGCCGGTAGTGTTTCATTTTATTTCCTTATTAATGTTGACCATTAGTCTCTGCAGTTAGCTACTGCAGTTTGCCATGCTTGTTGGTCCTACACGAGCATCTTGCATCGTGCCTGGTGGTTTGCCATACGTCTTGGTAAGGACTTCAAGGTATTCTCGTAGCGTTTTTGTGCCCTCCTTCTGACAACCAGCAACTGTAATGGCAATACTGTAGAATTGCCACTTCTGCAGACACCTAACGGTCATTGTAAAGACCTGACTGCTCGATCGCAACTGAATATACGTTAAAAGACAAAGGTTACCGCGCATAGCAGTTGCTGGAAAGGCCCGTTTCTCTTAGGTCTTGAATGTGCTTGCGACAGCATGCAAACGAC